TATTTTATTATTATTATTATTATCATTAGAAGTTCTTAAGTTTTTTATTCTCTCTTTTAAAAAAAAAAAGATAGTAATTCTATTAAATATTTAACATTTGTTGTTTGAAAGATTACTACAAATTAGGAGTATATAGGTTTCCGTATAGTGCTTTAGTGTGTCTCACTATTGAAAATGTCTATTGATTATAGTGCTTTTAGATCAAGTGTTATTACAAAATTTATTAAAATTTACTTTTGCAAATGATAATTATTATTCTTTTTTAAGAAAAAGTGTGTTTCATGAGTTACAAAAGAAATATCTATCTATTTGCATCCTCTACTTAAATATCATGTCTTCTCAACTTTCTTCTACTTAATTTTTCATGATTAATCAATATATAAATAGCAATTCTCCATGAAATTGTTTAAAAAATAATCTCATTATTTAAATGAATTAAACGGAGAGCACAACCAAGTAAGGAAAAAAGTTGTATAAATACACCAATTTTTCAAAAGAGAGAAATAGAGAAAAATACCAACAATATTACAGAATCATGTTACATTATGTGTTAATGAACTTGCATATTTATGAATTACTTTTTATACAATTACACCATCCTAAACTAATCCTCTACACCTTTTCATTTACTATATTTACATAATAAATTAATAATAGATCTTTCATAATAAATAAATATCAAACCAAATCCCCAACTTTCCTCCAATTATTTATTAAAATCTTGACACTTATCTTTACACAAACATTTAACAAATTCAAATAATTAATTCATCATTTAAACAATTAAATGGAAAGCACAATCAACAAATAAAAAAAGTGGTATAAATACCACAAACAAAATTAAAAACATCAAGACACACCATTTATCTTCATAGTCACCATCTGCTCATAGTGGTTAATTGAGGTTAGTTTTTCAAATGTTCAATATTGTTATATTTAAATTACATTTTATTGCAACACTCTATCCTTAGTTTGACTTTGACAAATACTTATACAAAAGTACTACAATGGATAAAAAAAACCATAGATCATCCCCAACAAATTAGTTCGGAGAATTGTCAAGGTAAAATATTAATGATAATAATCATAACTATATTAAGTTGTACTTCTATACAATTAACAAAATATTTATTGTTAAATACAAATGCAACTGAAAAATCAAGCAAAGCGGTTAAAGTGATGTATGGAAATATTATGCAATAGCGAATTGCATATTTCAAAAAGGAACAAGAGCAATTGAAAAAATATATACACAGAGAAGAATGACATGACGTTTTTCATGAATTGGTTTCAATGTAATAGGGAGATGAAACATTTTTTTATTAGAGAATATATTTTCTAAAAAACAATCTAATAATAAATGATAGGACATTGTTGATGTATTTCTTTATATTTTTACTGTTATTTTACATTAAAAAACATTTCAAACACATTCACAAAAGTATTCATGATAGATATTACAATATAAAAGTTCAATCTCTTTGGCATCTTAATAAAAAGCAAGGAGGGCCATCAAAACATACTAACAATTCCCATTCAGTGCAATGGAAATAAACAAGAAAAAATATTTTAACACATATCTTTTAACCCTCGCGCAAAGCGCGGCGATGTACCCTAGTTATGACAATTAAAAATGGACGGAGGCAGTATTAAATAGTCATTGCAAATCACTAATTAAGGCATAATTACATCATATACATATATCATGCACAAATACATGTATTTGGATAACTATATCTTCTTCTTCATCATCATCTTTTTCTAATTATTATATACTTAAAACATAATTACATCAGATACATATATGTATGCACACATACATGTGTTTCTGGATAACAATATCTTCGTCTTTTTGTAAGTATGTATATATTAACAAATACACTAATACATCACAAAATTGATACCAAATAGATGTATTAATGCACAAATACACCAGATACATCACATATACACTGGATACATCATGGTATCTTAGAACCAATATTTAATTATGTACGAATACACTGAATACATGAAACTGATTCTTGATATACTAGATATTTGATAGCGGATACACTAGATGAAATTGATATACACAAACACATTGGACATATCAGTGCATATTTATTATTGTGTACATGGATACATAAAAATGTAAAACACAAATACAAATATGTAGAGAGATGAGAGAGCGAGAGGGTTGAGCGAATGAGAGAGGGGATAAAGTCGAGTGAGAGAGGAGGGATGTGAGATACATTCACTAGAAACAATGTATCCAGAGGTAAGTACATTGTATCTATAGGCAAGCACACTTTATCTAGAGGCAACTCGAATAAGAAATGACTATTGAAACTATGAATGTATTAAATAATTAACACCTCTCTAATACCAAGCAAAACATCAATAAAGAAGAACCGACATATTTCTATTAATTTTACTCTCATTGTCGAAAATCACGATATCATCATCTCCATCATATTCAATTTTTCTCTTCATTCCCTCTAAAAAAAAAATTCTCACCTCACTAAAAAATTAATGAAAAAAGCGATAGAAGAGAGGTCGAAGAAATTGATAGCAATGATAGTTTTGTTTTGTGATTGGGTCTAAAAATAAAATACAATGACAAACTTATTAGTGGTGAGTGGTAAAGAAGAGTGAATTGAAGAAATCAATATTAATAATGGTGGTGAATGATGGAGAAGAAGAATTGAAGGTGATATAATGGTGATAACTGGTAAAGATCAAGGAATCATTAGTGAAGGTGGTCAAACATGATTTTTCAGGCGAGATAAGAGATGAAGTGAATGAGGCTTAGTAATGAAAAAGATATAATTATTAAAGGATTTTAGTGATCAATTAGAAATTAGTTAGTATAAAATATAGTTAATAAAAGAAAACTTAACGAATAGAGAAAAGAAAACAAAAGAATATAAAAAATCATAATTTCTAACATGACATTGATGTGATGCTAATATAGCGAACGAGTATAAAACATCACATACTGTGAAAATAATATTATACTTAAATTGTATAAATTTGTAATAATCGACTATAATAATTTACGTGTGTATTCGACTTTTTAAAACGAGTTGTGAATGAGTTCTTTGCCCTTTTCCTATTCTTTTGTACTAGCAAAAATTCAAAAGGTCCATAATGTGGGTACTATATGTCGTCTGTCCTAATGTAATTTCAGCCCTTCAATTTTGCATGTGATTAAAACAAGTAATTCATTCATCATTTTAATATTCTCACCCACTTACTAGACCTTTTTTTTTTTACTATAATAATCAAAACAAAACAGAATAAACTATAAAAGCATAGTCTATAATGTGCCATTTTATGAACTACTCTACCAGGCAGACAAACAATAAATTGATTTTAGTGCAAGTCTTTGTCAAGGAAATATATAATGACAAATGCACAATCATAATTTTAAAAGCTGTGAATTGTGTTGCATATTATGCATTTCCTAAGTATGAGAATCAAAATTTAAATTCAAAACACTGCAAATTGAAACCTCCAAATAAGACATAGTTACAAGTGCAAAGTTGAGCGGCCAACATAATAGCTAAGGAAGGACAATATCAAATTAGATTTTTTTTCTTTAGATTGGACAGTTTTACCTTTATTTGTTCGTTAAATTATTAAAGCGGATGAGTTTGAAACTTTTTTTATCAGGTCAACAAGATCAGTGAGTAACTCTAATACTATATCGACTAATATCACCATGCTTGTATTAACACTTAATATTATTATTATTTTTAAAAAAAAAGTAAACTTGTACTCTCAATCTTTCTTATTCTTGAGACTAAACGGTAGATTAGTTTTTAGTTAGCGCCACACAAATCTTAGTAAATTAGAGATTAATTATACAAGAAATAGTTATGCAACATTTAGTTATTCATGTATTAGTTATTTCTAGAGTTGGGTATCAATTGATTTGGTTCGATTTTGAAGTTTATTGATTCCTTATCAAGTATCGATTTGTAAACACGCTAAATTGTTATGATATCAATTTATAAGTTATTGATCGTTGTTGATTCTGTTATCGAATTTATTGTTATACACACACATTTTTTTTTTTTGGAAAACAATTAGAAATTAAATCAGATGACAAATCAAATGAACCATGAAATATGAGTTGATCATCTTGCTCAAAGCAAACACTGACACCTTATTGAATAATTGAGAGCCTGAGATAATCATATATATATGAAAAGTATGAAACTAAATTCAGAGTCAAAAACTTTATATACTGAATGATATAAATAATAAACAAAATTGATATCGAAACCATTAAATTAATTAATTTATTTTATTCGAATTATTAGGTGCAGTTTGATTTTGAACAACCTTAATTTTTTTGTTCTATCATACATAATATAATACATAAATTTTAATTTATAATTTATAGATTTTTTTAGTTGTGCTGAATTATAAATTGTCAATCATAATTATAAAAAGTATATTAATTTTAATACATAAATAATTTATTAATTTATGTACTAATCAACCATCAAACGTCCCCAAGTGTATACAATATTTCTTTGACTTGACATTAAAGGGATGAGTTGGAATCTATAAGATCTAAATTAAGTAACCTTTAATCCTCAGCAAAAAAATATTCTATTGTATACTATTAATATTAGTAGTTATTATTATACATACAATATAATAGCTATATAATAATAACCCAAAAAGTCAAAAGACTTTTAATAAATAAACATAATTTAATTCCATTTCCATATTTATATCCAATATATAATATAGTTTTATTTATGATGATTTATATAGCCTATATAAGACTATCATGTCTGTACACTTAGCCGATTCTTTTTTTTTTTTTTTTTTTTTTTTTTCGCCACAGAGAATCTCTTTACCCCCATTTTCTTGTCACCTAACGCCGCCGCCCTCCGCCGCTGACCCCGACGGCTGACCTTCTCTGCATCTCTTTCCCTTAACCCCACCCCACCCACCCACCCACCCACTCCCACCAAACAATCTTCTTTCTAGGTCAACCACCCTCAACTACTAACCAACTTCCTGTTTTCTAGGAATCCTGCCTGAAGCTTCGCCAGAAAATGCATAATCAACCTTCTTCACCGTCACAAACCGGAGCTCCGACCGAGTTAAGGAATACCCAGATGATTTCCTCTTTGCTTTCCGGTACCCCTGATGACCCCGCAGCTTCATCCATCTTTGACTGGTCGGATTTACTCGAATTCGACCTACACGAACAATTGAGCATCTCATTCGATGACCCACTTCACCAAGAGCAGCAACCGGAGACAGAATTGGTGGCGCCGGTGATACCTTCTTCGGAGGATTCACCACAAAGCCAAGATACGGATGCGGGTCGGATCAGGAAGAGGGACCCGAGGATGGCATGTTCGAATTTTCTGGCGGGTCGGATCCCGTGTGCTTGCCCCGAGCTAGATGAGATGATGGAGGAAGAGGAGATGGCAGGGATTGGGCCAGGGAAGAAACGGGCTAGGACTGTACGGGCTTCTGCCGGAGCTGGGGCGAGGTGTCAAGTACCGGATTGTGAGGCGGATATCAGTGAGCTGAAAGGGTATCATAAGAGACACAGGGTGTGCTTACGTTGTGCTAATGCAACTGCTGTGGTTCTCGATGGGCATAGTAAGAGATATTGTCAGCAGTGTGGCAAGTACGTTTACTTTTTTTCTGATGAGTACAAAAAGCTTTATGCTGGTAGACTGTAGCCTGGATAAATGATGGAGGGGTGCAGTAGGTTGACAGCCCTTACAAGCCTAAGTAGAGCAGAACAAATATAGATATAGCCTAATCTAACTAGTTTGAGATTGGGGCTTAAAACATTGTTGATTGATTTGAAAGTACAAGCATGTTACCACATAATGAAAAGTTCAGAGAAATGACTAAAACATCTTTTACTAGTACCCCAAGTGATCAAAGCAAAACAAATGCTCCAAGTGATACAAAAGAAAGTTTCACAGGGCCTGCCAAGAAATATAAGTTGATATGTTTGCAAAAGATGGCTTTAGATGGATGTGGTGTTAACTGTATAGCCTGTTGATTAGTTAGTAAACTAATTGCATTGGTGACTTTGGTACTTAAAAAAGATTATTGGTTTAATTTAACCTGATATAGTACATTTATAGTTTATGGGATCTGCTTACCAGTGAGTTTTTTTTAATTAAGGATTCTCTTGTCTTGGAGTTCCTTTGAGAGACATTTCAGTTGTAGCTTTAATTGCAGCTGTTTTAAGTGTATGTATGTGAGACTGTAGGGTGCAGACAACTATTTTGTCAAGAACTTGCCAGATATCCTAAAATGGCGCATGCCTCTTCCTGATGCAACTAATCTGTTAATGGTGCTATACCTTTTCCAGGTTTCATATTTTGTCAGACTTTGATGAAGGTAAGCGTAGTTGTAGAAGAAAATTAGAGCGACACAACAACAGGCGTAGGAGAAAAGCCACTGATTCGTCCAAAACGTCTGCTGAAAAGGAATCTCAGCAGCTCACAACGGCTGATGATGTTAGTGGTGATGACGACATCGTCAAAGGTATATTGAACTTGAGTAAACATCATTTCTTGAAAGTAGTATGCTGTGCACTCTACCTTTAATTCATCTATAGTAGATGCCATGTTCCATATCTTAGGGTACTAGTTGAAACTGATAACATGGATATGTTTCCATCAAACATGGTTAGAATTGGAGAAAGTTCTGTTTTTCCAGGCATGGCATGACCTTGTCAATATCATTAAGTTCATCCTTCAAATTTTTGTTTAGTGTATTTCCTGAAAATCTTCTGGGTGACCAGATAGCACATGCATGGGCAGCCAGTTAGGAGAAAAGGAAATCCTATTAGAATCTGAAGGACATGTGCCAATATGCTCTACTCAAGGCATCCAAAATAATCACAGTGATAGTTTCACAGCTTCTGGTGAAACACAGGTTGATGCAGAAAAGGAGAACTACAAAAATTCCCATTCTCCAACCTATTATGACAACAAGAGTGCCCTTTCTTCGGTGGTAGGTCTGCTGACATAATTCCTCTAATGTCAATAATTTCCATTTATATCTGGACTATACTTTGAATTGACTGGTCATTGTTCCTTTTTGGCTAGTGTCCCACTGGTCGGATCTCATTCAAGCTTTATGATTGGAACCCCGCAGAATTCCCTCGAAGACTCCGGCACCAAGTACTTAAAGGATTATTATTACAGTTTAGTACATAAGAGAATGTTAATTCTTTTCTTCAATAGAGTTCTTCGGGTTAATTGACGTATTACTTTACAGATCTTCCAGTGGTTGGCCAGTATGCCTGTCGAATTGGAGGGCTATATTCGTCCAGGTTGTACAATCTTGACAGTTTTTGTTGCAATGCCGACATTCAAGTGGGGTAAGGTAATATAGTCACTGTTCCTCTCTGGTGATAATCAATTCTACGTGTGATTGGTCTTAATGTATTTGGGTATCACCGTGGATTAGTACATTTGTTGAGTTAGTGATGAATCTCCTCTTTGAATGGTACTACGATTAATGTGATCTCTTAATTAAGAGACTGTGTCTTGAGTTACTAAGTCAGTAATTCCTCTCATAGAACACAATGCAATAATAAAAATGAAAGGCTGTAGGAGTTAGATATTACTGAAGAGTTATCATTCTGTTTTCTGTTCAACTGTTTCTCTACATGTGGCTTCTGTAACATTTACTTGTGAATTTTCATGTTATGTTTATTAAACATAATTTGTTTCTAAATGATCGAGTTCCACATTGGGTTTAACAGTTACTAGAAGACCCAGCTGCACACCTATATGAGTTAATTGCATCACCAGGAAACACGCTTCGTGGAAGAGGAAGCTTTCTTATTTATCTCAACAACATGGTATTTCGTGTTGCCAAAGGTAAATGGTAGTTCAAGTTCTCTACCCTCAAGCTCTGGTTGCGACAGACTTATATTAGATCAATCTAGTCTAATCCTTTATTTTTGGGACCTTACTTTCTCATTTGATGTAGATCTTGTTTGGCTTTTGCTACTGATCCCGACATTTCATTTTAATCAAATGGTAACAATTATTCTTGATAAAGCAGGTGAAAATTCAGTAGTTAAAGTCAAACTGAAGGGACCAGCACCAAAGCTTATGTCAGTTCATCCTATGTGCTTTGAGGCTGGCAAGCCTATGGAGTTTTTTGCCTGTGGAAGCAATCTGATGCAGCCCAGATTCCGGTATGAGTTAAAATTATATTTTCCTGAATTAATATTCTGCTTATTTCTGTTCCGTTGATGTAGCTTGAGTTCCTCATTAATTATCAACAGGAGATATTATGATAGGAACTGAGTTGTTTAAGGGCGAAAGAAATCTCAAGCTCGCCGACTACTAAAAACTAGCATATCCAAGCTCTAGAAACTGAGTCTGTATGTGGTTGCTTTTTTTTTTCCAGCAGGATGCAAGAATGTTAACCACACTGTTGAGGGATAGAAGTTATTGAATTAGGCGAATTGCATCAATGTAAGAGCTTACAAGTATCGGTTAGGTGTCAAAGAGACGTCATTGGTCCTTATATCAACTTTTGATGAAGGGCTGTGTCAGACTCGTGAGTAGTATGGACATAATAGGCACATAAAATGGAAGTATGATAATTTTAAGATCAGAGGGTCACAATACGGCTTAATATTTGATGTGTATAATCTTGTACCACCTATATAATTACAAATGTAAGAAGTACAAATGACCATTAAGAAATGCAAGAAATACATTGCGACAAATTTATAGTCTATAAATTTTACTTATAATTGAAATGGGAGAGCTTTTGTAAGGGTAGTGTTTGACTTTGTTCATATGAGGAATAGGCCTCTTAGCCCTTATTTCTTTTTGAGGCACCCACAAGATCCCTTTAAGTATAGAAAGTAGGGTGTCTTTCGTAGAAAACCATATAATTCTTTGCAGGATTTTTACTTTTTTGGTATACCTCTTGTATCACCTCTTTTATACAGGTTAGTCAATAAATTTTTTTACTTTATCAAAATAAAAATAAGAAAAAGCGTCCAGAAACAACACATAAACATTTTGCAGAACATAGTTAAAATTACAACAATGACAAACAATAAAAAGTAACAGTTGTTCCACGAGTTCCAGAGGTTGCAAATAGGTTAGCTATGGTGATTTGTTATTGATGAGCTCAGGTTTGCTAGGAAGCGTTAATGATGTGTTAGGACAGGGATTTTTATTTCTAAAATCTTCTTTATTACATAGAGAACACAATACCTGTAATCCAATGTCTCATCATTGTTTGCACCTATTGGTGTAGTAAAACAGGGAACTCATTTTCAAATTAGATGACACGAAAATATATACAAAATACAAAAGAAAGGACATATCTCGTAGTGGTAATGAAATTGTTTGCTCTTGATACACTTTTGAAACCACAAAATGCCATAGACAATAGGCTTCAAAGTGGAGAATAAGCAAGAGAAGATCTTCCTTTCCTTGTTTTCCTACTCCAATGCAACTCTTAGCTAGCGTTTGGCCATAGATTTCTAAATATTCTTGGCAAATATTATTTGGGTGAAATTTCACCATGTGTTTGGCCATAGTATTTGGGAAATATATTTCACTTTTTTAGAAAAATATGATTTATACCCATAAATTTAAAAAACTATCAAAACTAACCATAAGTTTGTTTTACAAGTCAATTGAATTTTCATTGCAACAATAACAAATAGTGTCCATGACACTAGAGCAATGTGGTAGTTTGGAGTGAGTGCAACAAGCAACATTCCATACATCGTGCAGTAGACAAATCACATGACTTTGTTACCCTGAGCCGATTGTTCATCATTTTCATCAACAACCATATCATCATTTAATATTCACTAAATATTTCATCACTACTTTGGTGTTCACGTGAAAAATTATGTAATATGACACAAACAACTACTATAGAGGGTGTTTTTGTAAAAGATAAAAATTTGGGGTAACATTTCAATTTTCACAAGATCCCAAATAATGAGATTTGGCCCAAATACTAGAAAAAACTAGTATTTGGGAATTTGGGATATTTGCCAAAAATATTTGCCAAATAATGGCAAATTGTATGGACAAACACTATTTACCAAATTTTTTCCCAAATATTATTTGGGAAATCTATGGCCAAACGGGCCCTTAGTTGGGCATAGATGGCAAACACCAGTATGAGCAATTAATGAGGTGTATTTAGTTATTACAAGGATGGTGCAATTTATAATATTAATAAATAGAAGGATTATATCCGTGCAGATGAGTTCTAGAATCATACCCTCTATAGATATTACTCTATCTGTCTCAATTTGTGACATACTTACCGTTGTAGCCTGTCCCAACAAAATCCTCATTCTATCCTCATGCTTGTTGGGACCCAACCACTACTCATTTAAATGACAAGACATATGAAACTCTCATCATCAGTCATTTAAAAGGATAATTTTGGTACTTTGCATATCATTATCAAAAAAAGTTTGAACCTAAACAAAGTTTTTGGTACTTCACATATATTTGGCTATCATATCAAAAGTCTTCAATTTCTTAAACTTTGTGTTCAGTCAAATACTTCACATACAATTGGACGGAGTGTTGCTTTTGATGGAGTAAAATAGAAAGATAAGTTCGTATTTGTTCTTAATGATCCATGGCTTCTCTGTTTGCTTACTTCAGAAGACTGTTATCACAATCCAAGCCCATGACACATATTGTCTGCTTTGACCCAATATACGTCAGGGATTTGTGCCTCGGACTACACCATGATTGAGCCCCAAGGCACACATACTATGTGAACTTGTGCTCTATCTTATAGAGCACTTAACTCTTCTTTTCTGATATGAAATTTGCCTAAAGTGTTATATGTAGTCTTCTTTAGAAACTCGTCAGCCTAGAAAGCATGCCAGTCTTTCTCTTTGACTCGCCTTCATTAGCCCGGCCTCTGTCATGGGCGTCACAACTATTTGATCAGACCAGATTGCAAGCTTTTCTTGTTTGTTCGCATTTTTTATCTTTCCTTTTTTTGGTGACTATTATACATGCATTTGACCACATTATACTTATAGATCATTTTAATGAGCTATGAGCTGTTTTTTCGTTAGATTTAGCAGGATATTTGATCAAACCAAATTGGAAGCTTTTTGGTTCCCTCATACCAACTTTCTTTCCCCCTATTGGGGACAATTCACTCATAGGGGGAAGGTATCAGTACTATTGCCATGGAGGCTTTCCATGGAAATTGATGTTATCTTTCATGTTATTTTTTATCAGGTATTATAAATTAACATTTTGATGCCCTTGACACTTTACAGGTTTCTTGTGTCATTTGGGGGAAGGTATTTGGGGAATGATATCAATGTCGTACCATCAGATTGTAAAATTGAAGGTGATTCTAGTAGCATGGAGCATCAATTATTAAAGATACATGTCCCTAGAACTGAAGCAGATCTTTTTGGCCCCGCTTTTGTTGAGGTAGAAGTTCTAACTAAATATCTTCTTTTGTCCTCATTTCAAGTTTTGTCTTTTTGGCCTATAAATGTATCATTCATATAATACGCACCGTGCATAGTTCATTATATATTTTTTTATCTAGTTATATTATAAAAGAGAACTACTGAAGGAATAATGTTAGAAAAAGTCAAATTGCATTTTATTTTTGATAAGGAAAATCTGTCACATTAATAGATTTTACAAGTTCCGTACACCAGAAGAGAAGAGCTAATTATAATTCCCAAGGTTATGGCTGAGTTGAGGCATAAGAGTGATGAACCAGATATTCCAGGTTCAAATTCTAGCAAAAACACTCGGTACGAGTCTATTTGCATCACCCTTGGTGGGCAGCCTTGCCTGGCACATGTATTTGTGAGCTATAATAAATTGTCCGGTGGATTAGTTGAGTTTAGTGCAAATTGACCCAAACAGCACCATCATTTATATTGAAAAAAAGACTGCGGAGCTAGCTATACTTTTGTAACTTCTATACAACGCTTTCTTGGTGATAATTTCCAATGAAATGAACCTCAACTTTCTAACGTAAAGGTCTATCCCAATTGAATATGAGTGCTGATGGAGTAACACAGTGCTATCTCTTTCAAGATATCAATTCTTCATGTATTTAATATTCTTGAACCTGTATTTGTGTTTCACTAATCTTGGCTGTAAATGATCCAACCTGGTCTATTTTGTAGGTTGAGAATGAATCTGGTTTATCTAACTTCATCCCCATCCTCGTTGCGGAAAAGGATATTTGTGCAGAAATGAAGGAAATACAACGGAAGTTCTGTTCTGGAGGGTCAGAATGCACTGCTGTTTGTTCTCCATGTGAAGCTTCCACGTCTAGAAAATCAGAATTTTCAGAATTTATGTTGGATGTGGCATGGTTACTAAAGGAGCCTTCATCAGAAAATGTTCAGATTCTGGCGTCTGTACAGATGCAGAGATTTAATTATTTGTTGAACATTTTAATGGAAAGTCAGTCAACTATTATTTTGGAAAGAGTATTGTCTTATTTTGAAAATATGGTGAAGAGAAATATGTTAGCTGGCATCACTGATGCTGACATGAGACTTTTTCAGAAGAATATCCTCGAGAAAAATAATCTGCTCAAGGAAAGATTGTATCTAAAGGAATATTTTGCGGGAGAATCGGGACAAATTATCCAGGAGGTAAATACTTCTAGTCAAATCTTCCAAAATCACATGCAATCTGTTTTTCCAGTTATCAATCAAGTGATGATCTCATTTCGACATTGCCATGTTATCTGAGTATGTTGCACAATTGTGCGCTGCCATATTGTCTTCAAATTAAATCCATTGAGTTAGAATAATCTTTTACATTTATTTTTATGTTGGCGAATAAGCTGCAAATAAATCTAACGGTTGGTACATAAAAAACGTACCTTGCGTTGAAGCTCAAATCAAAATTGTTCCTCGCTAGGCTTGAACATGACCAAGCGCGTAGTTCATCTAAAATGAGCTTGACTTGGTGAAAAGTTCTATTGGTTGCTTGAATGGAAGCAAAGACATTATCGTGTCAAGGGTGAAGCTGTGCGCTTCAAATGGTGACGCGCAAAGGGATCCCAATGGCTTCAAATGATGACGTGCAAAGGGATCCCATCTTAAAAATAATTGGTTCGTTGAATCTCAACTTTGAGGAGTTCGATTAATCTAGGGATTATTGTATATTGGCTACTTTGGATACTGAATTTAATTGCTTTAGTTGCTATTCAATCACTGTAGCATTCATATATGTTTGGTTTTGTTTACTGGCCGCTTTTTCCTTTTAACGACAATATCTATGCACTCATTATGATTTATGTTACAAATTTGAGTAGGGCGGCACATTTGAATCACTTTTACCTTCAGAATGTCTTATAGCTGCTCATTTCATGTTTTTACTATAGAAAATCGTGTTTTCAAAGGGTGATGACTCATACCTGATGTTAATTAACTATATCTGTAGCTTCCTAATTTGCAGGACACAGAGGTACCACATAAGCACAACATAGAGTTTGGTCCTACTTATTGGGAGAGAACTTCTACAGTCCCACTTTTGGATGCAGAATTGCCATTGAGAGTGAAGGAAGAACAATCAGGGAAGTCCCGTGGCTTCTTGGTTAGAAAGACAGTCTTGACGTCTCGTACTCTTGTTTTGTTAATCTCTGGTTTTGCTTTGTGTCTTGGTCTATGTGCAACATTCCTGCACCCTAGAAAAGTTGGTGACATCGCTATGACAATCCGGAGGTGTTTGTTTGACAAAACTTAAAATTGCATGTAACTTTTACCAAAATGACGATTTGCAGTCACAGATTATAGGTGTGATCTCCATTGCTCGGGTCCCTTCTTGGTCGCTGATCTTGTATGATATTCATGTGTTTGCTACAACTGCGTCTCAAGAAACTGGACAGCATTGAGTGAAGAGTTGATGATTAGGTCCTGAGTCCTGACCAAATGCTTGCTGGGAGACATGCTTTGTGGCATTCTTGATGTACTATACTACCTGTGCTATGTAAACAGAATAACTGTATCAGCTATGTAGCTTCAAATAGTTGTGTAGTTTCTTTGTAGAAGTTCTTGGATAGTCACCCTAAAAACTTGTTATTGCTGACTTCAGTTGTCCCCAAAGAGCAGATACACTGATATTGTTTGTGCTCAACAACTTAAAGCTTTGATTGAGCTTGGGGGACTCTTTAAACATTTTGATGTGAATATGCCTAGAATATGGTATCAAGCCTGTTATTTCAATGCTAAAGACCTAAAGAGTATTGCAATATATTTTGCATTTCACGTGAAACAGGTTTATGTAACAATAATATATCTCACTCTAAAGTGTTTGCCACTTTCAGAGTCAAGACGGAGGGAGACGCTAGGTGAGTCATGTCGGGCGAGATCTAACAAGAATTAGGTTTTGAAGATGAGTTGAGATTTTGAATTCGAGTCTCATTGTCATCCATTATCAAAATAAATATTTATGTGCTGCATACAAAAGAATCAAGTCTGCATGCATGTATGAGAGTGTGTTGAGCATATAATTAAATATCATATCCATCTTTTAAATGAAATGATCATATATATCAATATAGTTTCAGAGCTACTACATAACCAACATGCAAATACCATTTTGGTGTATCTAATGTGTTACATTGTATCTAATTAGCGTGACTATATTAAACATAATTAATGATCAAGTTGTTGGATAAGAGTTCAATTTTATGTGACACGGTTTGAGTACTTGACACGATATTTAAGAAAAAAAACTTTTGAAACTTGAAGTCTTAAACAATCCTTAGATGTGTTTGTAAATCATTTCATTAACAATAAATGAAAATTTGATTTTACCCAAAAACTAACTCTCCTAGTCTGACAATGTAATCACATACTAATATGAACTGCACCATATAAAACCACCGTCACGTTGTTACAGATTCATTGCTTCCTAAAGTCGGTAAAGATTAAAAAATCATACTTTTGGTAACTTTAGGAAGCAATGAACAGAAAATATGAGTTAACATAAGATATCTTTGATATTTCTATTAGATTTCGTCGGTGTTGAATTAATATACACCCACTTTTGTTTACTTTATGTAATCATCATGTTTAGAATATGTTATCTTTTCATTTAATTTAATAATTCTTATATATGGATCTGTCACAAAAGTTGAAAGAATATGCATATATACTAGCTAGTCTGAACAGCAAACTATGATGACAATTAAGTAATGTCAAAAATGATAATAAAATACTTTTCGTACATACATGGGCGGCTCAACATAATTCGAAGCCTAAAGCAAAATTTTAATTAGAGACCTAAAATTTAAATAATTTTTTTTTGTATTTATTTATTTTTCTAAATTTTTAGATGTAAATTACTACTTAATATCTTTTATATAAATGATTTTTTCCAATACTTTTTTTAATTATTATTTTTAGGTAAGATTTTATCAATTTAACATTGGAAAACATCCTTTTATTGAGACAATTATTATATGAATTGTTAACATAATTCTATAAGTAATAAGTTGATAATATTTAATGATAGGAGTTAGAATCATAGAATCAGATTCAAAAAGTTGATAACTTGGTATACCTAATTTAATATGAAAATTTATGAAGAAATAAAAAAAGAACTTGTAATTCACTTTGTTCAACACTTTTTGACTATTGATTCATATTTTTAAGAAAGTATTACTCTAACTATCAAAAATTTGAAGAATTAGAGTTCAAAAGGAGTTAAAATTCATACTCATATATATATATATATACTAGGTAATGTTGCCCGTGCTATGCACGGGAACGGGCCCAATAATATAAATGGTATGTTTTGGGCTAATAACGGAGATTTTGAAGCGATTGTTTGCGTGGATAAAGGAATAAGTTTTTTTATCACAAACTTGTACTTTATTTGACGCTATTCAAGGCACAATAAGACTATCCACATACAAAATTTTTGAAATATTTTATGTTGTCAATTATCATGATTTATAGTATTTTTACGATAGATTCACTTAAAGAATGAGTGAAATTTTTTGTATTTTTTTTCAAAACATATTTTATGTTGTCAATTATCGGGATCTATAATATTTTTACGCATTTTTTAAATATAAAAAACCCAAAAAAAATAAGACAAATAAATTAAAATGGACCCAATATATGTTATTTTTGTTGTCTCAATTTATGTCACACAAATAAAATTTGGAGAGTCATCCAAATTTTAATTTTTTAAAATAAAATGTTTTAAGTTATTAATTATTGTGATTTATAATATTTTGATGTAACTTTCAAATAACCAACATTACTGGTCACTTTGTCCTAATTTATGTGATATGGATAAAAATATAAAATTAACCCTTTTAAAATGTCTTTCAGATATTTTAAGTTGTTAATTATTATTATTTATAATATTTTTTTGATAATTTTAAAATGATATGTGTTATTTTTTCTGTCCTAATATATGTGAGCCTGAAAGAATTCTGAGAGTGAACCTATTTTATTATATAGCTTTTAAATATTTTAAATTGGTAATTATTCTAATTTTTAATGCTTTTTAAGTCATTTGCAAATGATATATGTTGCTTCCTTTGTCCCATTTTATATAGTATAAATAAAATTCCCGAAACCAACTAAATTTTTAATATATTTTTTAAAATATTTTAAATTATTAATTATTGCGATTTATAATATTAAAAAAAAAGTACAAAACTTGTATCAGCCAAAAAAATGACCACGATAATTCGAAACCTACAGAAAGCAATATGGTTGTACGTAATTTTTAAATACTTAATATATATTACTCCACTGGTCTCAATGTATGTAGCATTGATAAAATTTCAAGATTCAATCAAATGTTGTTAATTGTTAACATTTATAATACATTTTACGTAGTTTTCAATAATTTCACATTAAACAATACATATTACTACTTTTGTCTCATTTTATGTGACATTGATAGATTAATTTTAACAATCAGTCAATTTATTTTTTTGTTTTTTTAATAAATATTTTAAGTGGTCAAAATCACGATTTATTGTATTTTATACATAATTTTTAACGATAGATTAATTTCAAGAATTAATCGAATTTTTTTATATGTATTTATTTTTGAAATATTTTATGTTGTCAATTATCATGACTTATAGTATTTTTACGCAATTTTTCAATATAAAAAAAAATTAAGACAAATAAATTAAAATGGGCGCAATATATGTTATTTTTGTTGTCTCAATTTATGTGACACAAATGAAATTTGAAGAGTCATCCAAATTTGCATTTTAAAAAAAAATGTTCTAAGTTATTAATTATTGTGATTTATAATATTTTTATGTAACTTTCAAATAACTTACATTGCTGGTCACTTTGTCCTAATTTATGTGATATGGATAAACTTACAAAATTAACCCTTTTAAAATGTCTTTCAGATATTTTAAGTTGTTAATTATTATTATTTATAATACTTTTTTGGTAATTTTGAAATGATATATGTTATTTTTCCTGTCCCAATATATGTGACCCGGATAGAATTTTGAGAGTCAACCTATTTTATTATATATCTTTTAAATATTAAATATTTTAAGTCATTTGCAAATGATTTATTATATTATATTATATATATATATATATATATATATATATATATATATATATATATATATTATTTATTTCTACTATATAATAAAAGGGGTTTTATTATGATATTATATAATAGTAGAATATATATTATATAAACTCCCTTTTATTATATAGTAGAAATTACAATTACAAAATTAACCCTTTTAAAATGTCTTTAAGATATTTTAAGTTGTTAATTATTATTATTTATATTACTTTTTTGGTAATTTTAAAATGATGTATGTTATTTTTTCTGTCCCAATATATGTGACCCGGATAGAATTTTGAGAGTGAACCTATTTTATTATATATCCTTTAAATATGAAATATTTTAAGTCATTTGTAAATGATTTATTATATTATATTATTATATATTATATAAACTCCCTTATAGTAGAAAAATAAATATATATTATATAGTAGAAAAAATAATTTATTATATTATATAGGGAGTTTATGATTGGACATCACAATGTCCCATCATAAACTCCCTCTTATATAATAAGAGAATATATAAAAGAGAACCTTAGGCCCACCTACGTGGCGCCACCACAAACCATAATTCACTTTTAATTTATTTATTTCCAAAACTAGCCTTCCTTTTTCATGAAAAGTTGTGACATTTATGAAAAGTTGCGACTTTAATGAAGAGTTGCAACTTTTATGAAAAGTTGTGACTTTAATAAAGAGTTGCGACTTTTATGAAAAAATGTGACTTTTATATGAAAAGTTGCGACTTTAATAAAGAGTTGCAACTTTTATGAAAGGTTGTGAACTTTCTAAAGGGTTGCAACTTTTCCAAATAGTTGTAACCTTTCCGATAAGGCACAATAAACATTTGTTCAGACTACCATTTGTTGTCTATAAATAGAGGAATTTCCTCTCATTTTAAAACAATGAAAATTCTGAACCTCTTATTCTTCTTCACAATTAAATATTTGTGTACATTACTCATGTTGAGTGGCTCAGTGACACTATTGCTTATGTTACAAATTATGGTATGTATTTTTACAATCATTAATTTATGCTTATGTTATTAAGAATAAATGATAAAATGTAATAATTTTCATTTTCTTTTACATTTTTTTTTATGTAAGATAATATAGTGTTTTAGTTTTAGTGATTGATAGATTTTAAGTATTATTTTATATATTCTGTGATATTAAATTCCCGCGCGAAGCGTGGATAATTTCACTAGTGATAAATAATAATGTGAGTGTTAGCGAAGAGAATATAAGAATCCAAAACAATGTTTTCTTGATTTATTCTATTTTAATGGGATTAAGATACATAATTTTTGTGGAAATTTGAGGCCCCAAAAATTGGGGGCCTAAGGCCAATGCCTTAAATTTTATAGGCAAGAGCCGGCCTGCTTACATATATACACAATGCCTATCACTATCACTCAACAATCATTATATCAAAAATATCATTAATTAACGCTAATAATTTTATTATTGTGAAATATTTTTTAAAGATAATTAATATTCTTTGTAAATGTTT